AGATAAAAACTAATACAAATGAACACAGTATAGGAAAAAGAAAAGAGAAAAAGAAATCAAAGAGAAGCCAAGAGTGCAATAAGGAAAAAAAGAAAAATAGAAAAGAATGTAAAAAGGAAAAAGAGAAGTAGCTTATAATCTTTATAGCAGTTATGTAGTTACAAATTCATCTCTTACTCTTGCTACGATGACAACACAGCTCTTTTCTTTCTCTAATCTAACCTGTCCAATCAGCAGAGACATAAATCATAAGTAAAACTTTTCTGTTTTACACAAAAAGTCTAAAAGGGAAAATTCTGTGCTGTTCTTAGATGTGGAAGTAACTTTCTCACGCAGCTTCAGGTGAATTAAGCTGCATTGGTTATTACTGGTTTGCTCTTTTAAATTTATTAGAATTACTAGCTGTACCCAGCCACACGTTGCTGTGGCTCAGTCTGGTTAAATGGAAAAGAAAGAAAAGAGAAAGTGCACATTTGTAATATGTTTAATTTCACAATGCTTGCAGGTATACAATATTTTTTGTTGTTCCATTGTCTGTGCAGATAGATTGTCTGAAATCGTAGCGTGTATTGCTTTTACCTCCAACAGACCGCGCTGTTTTTCAAAAAAGCATGTTTTTGCCTGTCACAGGTGTGACATCTATATAATATAGGTATATAAAAACATGCGCGTATTCAAGTGCAATGTTGTGTCAAACTTCCAAAGCAATCGGTGAAGAACTTTCAGAGATTTAAGATTTTGAACAAATGAACATTTACATTTTTATTTATATAGATTTGCTGACTTATTTACATTACCGATTTTGGTATTGATCAGCCTGAAATCATAAGCACCAGAATTATTTTATTAATCGATACTACAGTATATGTCATTATTATTCTATTGCTTTATTAATAAGAATACAATACATCATCTAACGCAATTGTGAGATAATAAAAATAAATTCTGTATATAAAGCAATAAATACACACAGTTTTCAAATTTGCATGCAATACTGACACTTGATCTTCCTCCAGGTTGGCTCCCTTTGACTAACCTGTTTCACAGGATTACACTGAAGATAAAATTGTGAAAGGTGGAAAGTTTTTGCTTGTTTGTTTTAGACCATGCTGCTGCATCTGGTTAATATGAATGAACAATTTATCTCCCAAAACTTTTCTACGATTCAGCATATTTCTTTATTTGAAGCCTGATTATTTATCGGTTTCAAATTTCTCTTAGTGCTCTTGTACAGTGTGGTGAGGATGATCCAAAGTCAGATAACATGCTTAGAAGATGGTTAAGGTCAGAGATAAAGGAGTGGTGGCCGTGGTCATCCATGGGAGGTGGGGTGGATAATGGTCACGCTATCAGATCTGCCATGTCGCTGCTTCAGCCTTGCTTCACTGATTGCATCCTGCTATAAAGCATGAGGAGAGGGGAGCTGTAGGGAGGGGGAATGATAGAAACCACTCCAAGATCCCGCCAAAGACATCAGTTGAACGATCCAAGGACACAGGCATGGGAACGGCCCATCAAAGAGGTGCCAATCCTCAGAACTGTTACCAAAAACAACTAATTTGAATTTTATTGAACACTAGGGAGATGACCAGGAGAACAGTTAGGGAGAGACCAAGGGGAAAAACAACCTGGGCTTCTGCAGGAATCTTTAGATCTGGCTTTCTATCGCTGCAACCACTTGGCGTTAGTAAAAGTTTACCTTTCTACAAATGGAGTCGAAGGCCTTTCTTTCCTAAATGACCAAGCTGGGGTAGACCTGACACACACATCCCTGATGGCATCATCCCCTATATGGACTAACTTATGTACCTGCACCAGATGTCAGGTGGAAGTGTATAATGAAATCATTGGCATGATGATGTCATTGTGCAGATTTTATTTATTAATCAAAGTTATAAAGCCACCCATCTCATAAGAGGTGACTATGGGCAATCAATAAAAACAATACGTATATTTAAAGCAAAACAAATATTTAAAAAAATATAAAAAGCAACATAAATAAAGATGAAAAAAATTACAAGCCACAAACAGAGAATGAGTGCATCCAGCCTTAACAGAGGAACTATCTAAATAACTTTCCAATTCCTGGTCTTTTTGCAAATATCATTTTGGCATCCGCAGGATTTGCTGGTATGCACTTGCATGCATATCAACCAGACACTCTTGGAAGAAATAAAGAAAATAACAGAGCACTGCATTGTCTTATTCATATGTCTTGAAACTCTTCAAACTTTTAAAAGATTTTTTTTTATTTTACCTGTATTATTTTCAGAAATAATTCAAAGCAGCAAACATACTTAAATACTCCTTCCTCCTATTTTCCTCACAATAACTCTGGGAGTTGAATTGGGCTGAGAGAGAATGACTGATCCAAAGTCATCCAGTCATTCAAACCTAAGAGGGACCAGAATTCACAGTCTCCCAGTTTCTAGCATCCTGCCTTAGCCATTAAACCAAACTGGTTCTCCAGTTTGCCTCACCACTTATCAAGACTAACCAGTACACTTTAACACGATTAGAGTTTGGTGGCTATAACTGCATGCTGCTACACATGAATCATTTTCTGTTTTTAATTTAGAACTTGAATTTCAAAATTGACTGTTGGAATCTACCGATGGATGGATCCGTATGTTTAAACTTGGCAGGTTTCTCAATTCAACCGGATGCATCTGAGAAAGGTAAGATTCAAATTAGAACAAGAAGAAACAGAGAAGAAGAGACCCGTCTAACTCTGAAAAAGTCAATGCGTCTGACATTCAAATGTAGCCATAGAAAGCAAACAAGACAGCTTAATTGTTTGTTGCTCTAAGGGAAGGAGCTAAACCCAGAATTAATTTGGCTCCGCTCGTGGAGCAATCCGTTTGCTCTGCTTAATTCTGGCAATTAAATAAGCTTTTTCAGACACAATTAATATGTAAATCAGCCGCGGAGTGAGGGGTACGTTGGAAGGAAACAGGAAAACAAGAATAGGAAGCGGGGCAAAGTGGCATCTTTCCTCTTGTGTTGAGCCTCCTTGTCCGCTAGGGGCGCAGATGACTTTCTGAAGGAGCAGATAAGCGGCAGTCAGTCAGTTTTCTTGGCGGGAGGGGCTGGGCTGCCGAAGGATTAATTTATTACTGCTGCTGCTGTTCCTGCTGTTCGCTGGGCTGATTGGCTTCGAGGCAAAGACGGATTAACCCAGCCAGTGGCTGTTAGACTGCGATTTGGGTATACGGTGGGGAGGGATGGGGGGGTGGAGTGGGAAGGAAGGCGTGGGAAGGTCCAGACCGATATGGCAGAGATCCCCATGAAAAGATTGCGACGAGATGGCCATTCCGGGACGTATTTGATTAGCATTCTCCACGCACGCAACTGTCTGCGTATGGCCAGTGGGGCTGGCACGTCGATAAACGCTGCCATTTGCCTGCGAGGACAGTGCTTACCCCGCGTTAGTCAGCATCGCCAGGAGTATCGCCCGAGACCGAGAACTTAGCCAAAAGACGGTCTCGCTCCGGCACATCGGCTCCTCATTACGTGATGAGCCCATCCTGTTCCTTATGGGGGAAAAAGACGTCCTGGAAGCAGAGCAGCCCGCATTTGCATTCGCACTAAGGCTTCGGTCAAGAGTTGGACCAGTCATTGTAGGCGCCAAACTTTTGTCGAATTGATTAAAGCATCACTGGTGTAGCGTCCCTTTCTGGCAAAAGCGACGAACTGCAAGAGGCAAAATTACTATTTCTCTCCCTTGGCGGTAGGACTTTCGTGGTTACGTAGATTGAAAATACACGCGTATGCTGCGTACTGATGATCTCTGAGCGTTTGAGTGCGCGTGACCGGACGGGAAGAGGTTGCGGCAGAAAGCTTTCGTCTCCCTTACTGCTTCTCGATTTCTTCAGCGATTTCAATTGGGGTTTTGTCCGCTGATCCTTCGCTGGGCAGGAGCAAAGCCCGGCAGTTCTGTCCCCCCGCCCGTTTTATTTCTTCAGGACCAGATAGACCTTTTTCGACGGCTTTTCCCTCTGCAAACTCCTTCACAAACACATTTGAGTTAACCTCCGTTTTTTACTCCTTTGTTGACACACCATCCGTTGAGCCGCCAAAAGTTTTATGCAGGCAAGAAAAAAGTCGAGTAACTACGGCACGGTCAGATAAGGGAAGAAAGTTAATTTTTAACTGCTTTGGACCAGTTTTCTAAGATTATTTTAGGACAAGTAGTGCTGCTTCCTCGTCAATAGTTTTTTTTTCTTTTAAGAACAATGGCTGTGCATTTTATTTATCTTGTATGTATTTCAATAGTGTGCGCGCGCACGGACGCACCGATGTCCCAGGGATGCTTCTGAGCTCAAAAGCTCTTGATCGGGGTGAATGCGAAATGGTCAGCCAAAGTATTATTCCAGAGATCTTTATATCGTGAAGACTTGCACGCCCTTATTGGTAAGTTATCTCTTGTCAGGCATGGAAACACCAGTTCATGTGCATGCGTGGGATGCTTAATGTATATAATATTGTAGAGTTAGTTAGTTTTCTACTTACGATAGGATTGCCATTGCTTTAATTTTACACGTGCCTCTTGCGCTTTGTTCTTGCGGATGATTTCTTCAATCTTCGGTACGGTACGGTAGGCTTGTTTGGAAACTATTTCCATTTTTTTAAAAAAATCAAACTCTTCTTTACAGTTGTTTAAAATAAAACTATTCTCTAAAAACCTAGAGGTTTAAATCTTCAATTAAAGTTATCCTAAGAGCGTGGGATAGAAAGGTACCGATTTATCACTCTTTCGTTTCTGTTTTGTCGGTGGCGGTGGGTAGGGTGAACAAATTCTGAAAGAGATCTGACAGTGCCCACACCTCACACATACCTCCCACCCACGCACCACAACTAACCCACTCTGTCGCCCAATCGGCATACACTCATTCATGCGCAGAAGTGGGTGTAGGTGGAAATAATTATTGGCCCGGTCCGTTTCCACGGAATCCAGCCCGGGATTTGACTCCACCCCCAGCCAAGCTGCTTTCCAGTGGCAGAAAGTATTGGGACGGAGTCTGGCAGGGAGAAGAGGCAGGGCAGGGGAGATCGAAACACAGAGGGAGAGTGGCGCTGCTCCGAAGTCATCCCTAAACACATTTCAATGACCAGGAGAGCTTGGGAAAAGCGCACTTTCCTGCCGGCGCACGAACGAGGCTACTTCCCTTGGAGGAGTTTCCACAAAGCAATTTCGCCAGCCGGGAGCACTTTTGGGGAAGGGCAGAATAAGACAACGAAAGGACTTCCCAGGTCTGTCGGAAAGGGACTTACTGGAGTGGAAATCAGAGTGGCATTTGGACGAGGAGTAATCGAAGAGCCTGTATTTTCTCCCCGCACCTACCCTTCTCCCTCCCCCCCTCCAGTAGAGATGAACACATTGCGTTTGCCTTCCCCAAACTAGTACGGCTACTAAGCTTCTCTCCCCCTCTCCGTTTCCCCAAGAAGCCCCCCCCCCACGTAATAATGACAAAGGATTGCAAAGGGGAGAGTGGATCGAGTTTCGCTGAGCGATCCCCTTAACTGGATTACTAAATGGGACGCTCCATCAGCTAGTCTTCTTAAGGCTTCCAAATACATGCACCGACGAGGTACGTGCACTCTTCTTCCATGCCGTTTGTCTGCGCCTAGAGATCCATGCAGGGCATTGTTCGCGAGTCGGGGGGGAGGTTGCGCGGCGAGGAGCTTTGCGAAGTCCTGCAAGGCTGCAGCAGAATGAGGAGCAAGTGGCGGCAGCGGCGGATCCTGGAAGGCGAGGCAGGTCGAGGCCACTTTTCCCACCGGCCCTCGTGCTGGGCTCCCTTTTTAAGACTTATGTTTGCCGGAGGGATGGAGGAAAAGAATGGTTGCCACGCTCTTCTTTGCCCGAGCCGCCAGCGTTGCGGAATTGCTCGGGGATCGTTCTCCCTTCCCCCTCCCGCCGAAGTCCCTCTATTTTTGCAGCTTTGGGCCACTTTGTCCCGCCGGCCGGCCGAGCGCTGTGGAAGGGGAGGCTGCTCCGCGGAAGCAGCGGCGAGCGCGCACAATGCGCTCCCGGTGGGAAGAGCCGCCGTCGCGTTTCTGCCCGGCGCTGCCCATCCCTTGACACGAGGCTTCCTTGGGGGGCTTAGCTGGGCGTGGAGTCTTTTGTCTCCGAGACAATGTGGCAGGCGAAGGCGACTGCGGGGCAGGTTGGCTTGCTTTTCCTGAAGGCGGGGAACTTGGGGCTCAGGCGCCCCCTCTTCTCCGAGCCAACGCCTCGTAGCCTTCTTTGACCCTCTGTTTAGTGCCCACCCTGGTCTCTGGGGTGCTGGTGTCGACTGGCGCCGCCGCCCGCTTCTGGCTTTGTTTGCAAAGGCAGGAGCCTGGGGTTGGCGCAAGCTCGGAGCTACTCTACCCTCTTCCTCGAGAAGCTGGGGGGGGGAGTGGGTGCGTGCGAGGGGCTGTCACTCCACTTCGCTCGGGAGACCTAAGGGGCTAATCTGAGGCAAAGGGAATGGAAGTGGGGTATTTAGTTGGATGTGTCAAGGGAAGGGAATGCCTGGCAGTTCCTCAGCGCCTGTCAGCTCTCGCGCAGTGCAGGGCTCTTGCTGCCACCCTTCCTTCCCTCGCTCTGTCGCTGGGGCAAAAGGGGGTCGCCCGGCTGGGCTCCTGTTGTCATTCGCGCAGACGCACACGCTCCGCGAACTCCGCTTAAGGGAGAGTTAATTGGGTTATTGGGCCACATGTTGGCTTACTTCCTGCCTTGGAAAGTGTAGACTGGATGTGAGGCGGGGCTCACGTTTCGTTCGCATCTCCATACCGCCGCCGTCCCCCCCTCCCACCGCCCACCCGAAGTCCCAAAGCGGAGGGTTTCGCAGCTGTGCGTCTGGAGGCAGAAGAGTTATTTGGGCGGCTCAGCGGCTCCAGGATCCCTCTGACTGGTGTGGGCAGGGTAACTTAGGAGGAGGGAGAGGCGAACAGTGGAAGGAGGTGTGATTCGAGGTGATTAGGAGCTCCTTCCATTGGACAAAGAATGGAAACGAGGAGCATAGAAGAGATATTTCGGTGCTCAGGTAATGAATGGGGTTGGGGAAAGGGCACAGTTATGAGAAAGAAGTAAAGGAGGCGATGCCGGAGAAAGCAACAATTGCAAAGTGGGCCTCTGGGAAAGGAATGTCCTTGTTTAGTTTGTGTGAATATTCAGTAGACTGAGCAGGCTGATCTAAAGGCAGAGAGGGAGGGGTCCCTGTGTGTGTGTGTGTGTGTGTGTGTGTGTGTGTGAATATCTGCATGTGTATGTATAAATGCACCTTGCATTCAGCTACTTTAAGATTGGTTTAACAGAAACAGAAGTTTATCAGCAATACAAGAAACAGACTCTACTCAGTCACTGTACTGATTTTTGGAACATCATTTGGAATTATAATAACAAAGGGTGTGTCTTTAAGCATATGCAGCATGACTTTCCGTGACCCCTGGAACAATTGGTCAAACTGATCATTGGACACCAGTGAACAGGAAACCCAGAACAGAAAACAAAACAAAACAAAAAGCTTTCCTGTGCAACTGTGAACCTCATAGGTTTGTTCTCCCTTGAATTCCACAAGCGAACATAATACACTAAGGAATTGGGGGGCAGAGTTGTGATTCCCCCTTCTCCTTAATAAAAGACTGGGCTGCATCAAAAGTCTTAAGGAAAAAGGATAAATGGAAGTAAGTAACCAATGTACTGGGGAAAGTGCAATTTTAACTGCCCTCACATTTTTTTCCAAAGCTACCTAGATTCAAAGAAAGCTGCCCATCATACCAGCAACTATCTTAAGCCAGTAGGAGACGAAATTGATGCTGAGGGCAGAAGATGGTGCTGTTGGGAAGAATTTAGGTTGTGTTTGTGTGTTATGTCAGTATAAACAGTTTTTAATTGAAAGTTTTGTGTATTAAATGGTCCAGTTGTGATTTTGCATGAGTAAAAGTGGGAGGTTTCAATCCCCTGTGAATTGTTTTCCCTGGCTGCTGGTCTTTTGGAGAAATGGAAAGGAACTTGGGCATTGGGGGGGGGATCCCTTTGGGATGAACAGAGTGGGATTAAGAATGGCTGCTGGATCATTCCATAACCCAAATACAGTAAATGGTGTGGATTTCAGATCTAAGAAGTGCATTTGGATATTATCAGAAAGTTTTACTGAAAAGTTTGGGTTTCTTACATAGGAAAATACGTTTGTAGAGTTCCTTGTTTTGTACAGAATATTGTTTTGGAAAAGTTTCATTCAAAAGAGAAGTAAAAATCTATAGGATTAAGTAATTAAGTTGTGGGTTTGGTATTGTTGTTTCCTCACATGTATTCATGATTTTATAAATCAATCCATCTTTTTTGCTAGGAAAAATTAGTGGATACTTATAATTGTATTTGAAAAGATCCAGATCTATGCCAAATTAATCATCAGTTTAAATATTGTTAGCAGGGATCAATATTTGGTTATGCACAACATTGTAAGAGCAAAATGGACTTTAGGTAATTATAAATTTATAAATTATTATAAATTATAAACATATCTTGAAAGTAACTGCAAGTACTATGTAATTTCTGTTAAACAGAAGTAACTATGCCAAATATTTCAGAACCAAGATTAAATATTGACCTAAAATTAAAATGGCAACATTCTCTCTCTAGCTAGTATCCTTTTATGTTGTTATTATTTGTCTTTGTGAAAGCACTGTGGAGTTTGCGTTCCTACATTTATAGCTTTCGGTAGAAAAGAATCCTTCTGATTACCACAATCTGACAATGAACCAGAAAAATATGAATCTATAAATCTTTACAATGTTTTTTTAAAAAATTAATTAGATGTGTTTGTGTATGTGTGTGTGTACACACAGACATGTAAACATATGTATGAGGAATACTTTTAAGTGATATTTTTCTACAAATAGAATATTTTTAATTGGAACATTGATTGCTCCTAGGAAAGCTTCAAATCAAAATTCATGGTCTTCTGGGTAACGATTAAAAAAGTAACATACAGACCATTGTTCCTTACTGTTTTTTATTTATGAAAATCTCTTCCAAAATAGCTTAATACATATAGGCTATTGAGGAGAGAACATCCTGCCAGTAAAAACTAAAATATGAAGGGCGGGGAAGGAAATATAATAGAAGATAGTTGGTTCCATTGTTTTATGCAACAAATCAAAGAAGATCTGAACCATGTGTAAAAAGAACCTAATGTCCACATATGTTGCTCATGCTTTCCATCATAAAAAAATGTTTATTTTTTTCCTAATGATTAAAGAGATGTACTTTATGTTCTAATCCACTGTTCCTGAGTGGGAAATAACTGGCAGCAGAGGAATAAAGAACAGGTCTACCAAGAATCTCCAGCTGTTTTAATACTAACAGACTATATAATTGGAATAGTTGAAGTTATGCCTGTTAAATTCTGAAGAAAAAAAAGGCAGTAGGAGTTAAGGGCAAGGACCTGCTTTAATTGATTTTTTTTAAAAGGTCAAATTAATGGCCTGTGATAAATTCAAAAGAAAACTGTTCATTAAAAGGAAGTGGGCAGTCGTAAAGTTATTTGCTTCTCTGGGAAAGGAAGGGAGAAAGCTGTTACTTCAGCAAGAGTAGGAAGAATCTTACATAAATGCAACAGGAAGGCAATCACATTGTTTCCTACACTGAAGGATATAAAAGAAATTCATTTGAACTCCCCTAATAGATATATTACATCCTGCCTACTGACAAAAATATACTGTTATGCCACACATAAATTCCGTATTATGCCACAATTCCGTAAACAAGTACTACTTAGTCTGAAAAGTTAAAAGGATAAGTTTAGTATAATATTGGAATTTTGAATGTATTATATTCTAAATTCTTGAAAAATTAATATGGACAGAAACAAAAGATAAATTCAAAACAAAAGTAATGCATTACCTTCAAGACAGATAATAAGTGATGGGTTTAATCTTTCAAAGGCTAAAACATGTGAGATTGAACAATCCTATGAATAGGAGAATGGCTACATTGAAATCAGTGAAATCGAATGCATGAAATAAAACATAGTTTACAAAATTCAAGGTTTAGAGCAGGAATAGGAAACTCTTGGTTTTCCCCAGCATCTCTTACCTGCTTAGAGCAGTGAAATAGGCCGTGAGGGTCATGTCCCGGAGGAAACACAAGGATAACTCTGGATTCTGTGACCTTGATTAATATTTAAAAAGTATGCTACTGTGAACCAGTAAGGGATGTCTAGAATCCCTGCTTCACACATTACAATAAGCTATAATATATTTTCAGTTTAGCGTGATGTGTAAATCATTCATTATGACTTATTATGGTATGTATGAACCTGATGTTGTAGCTTGCTCAACAAATTATGGCTTAGTGTTTAAAGTGAAAGCAATTAAAATTGTCTTAATAAAGTTGCAGGCCATTTGTTTCTTTGGACTATAAATTAGCATGTATCTTAGTTACTTGTTATCTACTTCTACTTTATAGAAACTAAGCTCCCCTGAATTTAAGTAATTTAGAATATTGATAATCTTTTCAGAATATGGAATATTGTACTCACTGTGACTTCAAACTGTTTCATGGAACTACCCAGCATATGTCAAAGCAAAGACTATTTCC